TACAAATTTGAGCAGCATCTTTCCGAAATTTTGATGATGTATTAAGGTCAAAGTAACTGTTTTATCAATTTTTGAAAAATCTAGAAAAAAATGAAATTTTCCCTTCTCGTTACGTTAAAATCTGTATAAGGTTGAATAAATACAAAGTTACGTGACAAGCTCGTCAAGTTGCGTGAAAAGTTTGTAAATCGCGTGAAGTTGGTAAAGTTATGTGAACAGTCTACAAAGTAGCATGCAAAGTTGGTAAATTTATGCGGAGAGTGGAGAAAGAGTGTAAAATTATGTTCAAAAATTTGGAAAGGTACGTTTACTTGGTATAGTTACATGGTATGTAATATGCAGAAGTCCGTGCAAAGTTGGTAAAGTTACATAACAATTCTGGAAGGTTGCTATGTGAAAAGCCTGGAAAGTTACATGTAAGTTGGTAAACATATGTAAAAAGTCTGCAAGGTTGCATGCAAAGCTATTAAAACTAAGTAACTAGTCTGCAAATGTGTGTGCGAATTAGAGTTAAGTAAAAAGTCTGTAAAGTGCGTACAAAGTTGGTAAAGTTTACATAGAATGTCTGTGAAGCTCCGTGCAAATTTTGCCACGTGGGAAGTCCAAAAAGTTGTGTGCAAAGCTGTTAAAATTAAGTGAAAAGAATGCAAAGTTGGTAAAGCTACATGCCAAGTATGCAAAGTGCGTGCAAAGTAGGTAGATTTATGCGGAAATTGCTTGCAAAGTTGATAAATTACGTAGAAAGTCTGTAAAGTTATGTGCAAATTTTGCAAAGTCGCGTGGGAAGTCCACAATGTTGCGTGCAAATCTAGTTAAATTAGGAGAAAAGGCTGCAAAGGTGGTATAGTTACATAGCAAGTTTCCAAAGTGTGTGTAAAATTGGTAAAGTTACGTAGAAAGTCTGGAAGGTTAAGTGCAAACTTACTAAAGTCACGTGGAAAATATGCAAAGTTGTGTGTAAAGTCCATAAAGTTACATGCCAAGTCTGCAAAGGGGTATGCAAACTAGATTAAGTTAAGTGAAAAGTCTGAAAATTCGTTCAAAGTTGGTAAAGTCACGTAGAAAGTCTGCAAAATTGCATGCAAAACATGTCAATGTTACGTGAAAAGTCCATAAAATTGGTCACATAGAGTTACATGGAAAGTTACGTAGAAAGTCTAGAAAATTGCATGCAAAGCTGTTAAACGTACGTATTATTTAGAAAGTCTGGAAAGTTAATGCAAAGTTGGTAAAGTCACCCGGAAAGTCCAAAGTTGTGTGCAAAGGTGTTAAAATTGCGTGAAATTCTGTAAAGTTACGCAGAAAGGCTGGAAAGTTGTCTGCAAAGTTAGTACAGTTGGTTGCAAAGTTGATAAAGTCAGGTGGGAAGTCAGAAAATAGGGTAAATGGTGTTATTAATGTTATGTGAAAAGTCCACTTACGTATAAACTCTGTGAAATTATAAAATTTACGTAGAAAGTTGCGTACAGTTGTGTGCAAATTTGATAAAGTCACAGGGAAAAGTCTGCAAAGTTATGTCTGGAAGGTAATGTTACGTGCAAAGCCTACAAAGGTCCATACAAAGCTATTAAAATTATATGTATAGCCCACACAGTAGATTTAGTTACATGCCATGTCTGCAAAAGTGTGTACGAAGTAGATAATTATGTGAAAAGTCTGTAAGGTGCGTACAAAGTTGGTAAAGTTTACATAAAATGTCTGAAGTTGTATAGTCACATGGGATATCCACAAAGTTGTGTCTAAAGCTGTTAAAATTAAAGCGGGGAGTCGTCACCTGCGCATGCGTCAGATGGCCATAGCGTGTCATTGTTTACAAACAAGGGTCTTCCCCATGAGCCTGTATATTTGCTTGAATAATTGGTTAATTTATGTTGAAAGTCTATTTCTATGTAGCGGACCTACAAAGTTGTGTGAAAAGTTATGTAGCAAGCATTCAAAATTCCTGATTTACGAATTACCAACAGACACAAAGTAATTAGATTTGCACATGAGTAACTTACCTTGTGACAGTCGAAGATAAAACAAATATAAAAGGTCAAAGGAATATTGGACAGGAAACCATGAAGAAGGCATAGTTTAAAGAGTTTTTAAATGATCAGTGTGTATTGGTACAAAAAGGATCCGCTAGGAGAACTATACAAGACAGCAGAGAAACGTGGATTTCATGTTGAAATGGATTGTTGCAGCAAAAATCAACTGAATATTTTCAAATGAGTTTGTTGAATTTGTACCATTTCAGTAGTAACTAATCAGTCATCTTGAATCTGATAGTAAAACAAATGCATGTACCGGTACATTTATCCAGATATAATGTACGTCAAATGTCAGTTGTACAGAGACTAATGGAAATGAACCCTTTTGTATTTATGTAAATTAACTTTCAGGTTAGTGGCATCTCAATAATAGCCATCAAGCCTAAATTTTGCAATTTCATCGGTTTGTTGGGGTACAAGTGTTACAAAGCATAGAATTATCGATTATTGGAAATTATTGAAAGTGATGCATGGGAAGCAAGTTGTTCGACTTGGGGAAATAAAAGTTTTTGGATTGTACGCATCAGAATCGCAATAAAAAACTACACACTAAACTAGAAACGAATGCGAGTGATTATAAAAAATATTGCACAATCAAAAATAAACAACATATAAAGTGGGAATATACACAAGTAAAAATAAAAACTGTTATTACAAGGGTTTGTAATTTTCAAACTTTCACAATTTCATTTTGGGGAAGGGGAGTGTCTGCACCAGTTACAAGTAACTCTGCGTTTCCTCATTGTCCGAATGCGTATTTTATGTTAAGCAAATGGCCAAGTATGATTGAATGCGCCTGTTGGAAAGGCGCCCAGTCAGACACTGTAACATTGCATGGCAAGTTAAATAACAAAATGCATTGACGCTGCCGAGACGGCGCTTCCTGTGACGACACAATGAACAAAATGTTGGAAATAGAGTGTATCAATTCTTCTAGTAACCGCGTGTTTAGGTTGTTTACCAGACAAAAAAAAAACGAGACTGCATTTTGTCACCTTCACAATTTTTTATGCCAACGTTGCAGGCTGTTTGTAGCATAATTTGTCAGCAAAATGTCAAATATTTATGTCGACCAAGTTTTAACAAAGTAATTAAGCTATGAAAGAAAATCTCAGAAACCAAAAGTTGAACAATATTCATCATTGCAACAAACTCTGCTCGTAATGCTTCCATTGCATGGTTTTGGTGATCCGCGAGGACTTATCTTGAAAACTGAGTGATCTGTTCTGCTTTGGTCGCCTGGTAAATAAAACACGCTCTACTGTATTTTGATACAGGATAGCTGATTGGCCGTTTATTTTTGTCGCATCTCCCCTTCCTGTCGTCAAGGCGCCCATTAAATACAGACTAGTGTTTCAATCTGCCAAGTGTAAGTTTGAAGGAGTGACTCGAAACAAACATTCCTTGGCTGGCAAAGATGGCATTTCCTATACGCACTTAGTTTTCCTACATTTCTCTTCTCACTACTGTCCAAATCTTAGCCGTTCCAGAAGACTCATAGTGAAGTTTTTATTTACTGAAAACTATAGCAAGCCTCGTTTTATAACAATAAATTTTTATTATATATAAAAGTTTGTGTTGAAAAAATACAGTTTTTATAACATGAACAGTTTAAAAAAAATCAATGCTACTTTTACATGTAAACAAGAAAAAAGTTTCTTGCATGGTTTTCCCCATAAGAACCCTTTGAATGGCTCAATGGTCCCTGGCACATATTGTAAACTTGTATTATCTTTCCAAGCATTTGCTTTGATCAACATTTGCATATGATTAGGACAAACATCCTAACATTTTACCCCATGTCATTTGGTACTACAAAGATCAGTATGGCTCATATCGCATGGATTTTAAAAAAGAACAAATTTACAAAAACAGCAAATCATAGTCTGGCGCCCTCACAGTTTGAGTAAGGCTTTTTAGGTGAACTCAGATTGAGTTACTTTGCACTCTGTTGATTGTAAAAAGTCACTGCATTTCTTTTCAAACATATCAGTTTGTTCAGTTATGATAAGTTTATTAAAATAGTTTTCCACTGCAGATTAATATTCTCAAAAATTTTCATATTTATATGTGAACCATATTACTGCCTGGTTACAAATGTGTAGTGCTTTATAAAGTGATTTTTTCTTCTACTGAAGGCAATGTATTTATGTTTAGATATAACATTAACTTGCAATGAGTAACTATTTTAACAAACCTATAACATCAAATAACTGAACAAACCAATCAGTTAAATTACAATGAAACAAAAAACAGTTGTTTTTTTAGTTGTGGTTCCCTATCTAGGCCTGTGCAATACAGCCAAAACAGGTCTTTCCTTGGGAGCCTCATCCACCTGAAATACACTATACACAGGAGCTGTAAGGGTGTCAGACTCATGTAAAGGGGTCTTATTAACCTCTTTTAAACACTAAATATATTGAAAATTCAAAACACTGAAAAATTAATCCTGAAGAAAATTACAGGTCCAGACATGATAAGGCAGTGAATAAAATGTAAATGAATAAATACAAAAATATGCTATAAACAAGCTAGCACAAAGCTAGCAACAACAAGGATGTTCAGCTTCGATTTGTGCCAGGATGGATTCATAATCTTTGTCCCCGTAATCGCCTTGCCAATTGCATGTCTTTCTGCATGATGGTGACTCTCCCACTATGTATTGCTATCAAGTTACAGTCTTCAAATAAAGATACCAGATATGCCTCAGAAGCCTTAAGGGAAGAAAATACATAAGAGAAGCAAATACAAGTTTGTACTACATTTCGGAAAATGTTTTCAAGATATTGGCCATTCAATTTACTGGTATTTGCATGTACAATCAAGAAGCTTAATCACATGATAGGGTGCTCCAAATCACCTTTAGCTTATTAGAAGCCAAGTTTTTTTTTGTTCAATCATAACCCGGCTGCTTGATTTTCATAACTATGTTTGGTCTTTTTTTCCCCTTTGACCATACAAGTATATTTATCTACTATACAACACAAACTTTGTGTGCTGCAAATGTTAGAAATGACAAAAAATGACACCACAATGAAATGCATGTGGTAATAATGGTTAGACTTAGTTTGTCGAGGTTCGGTTGGTATGTGGAGTCAGGCTGAGGTTGGATTGGTTGTGAGGCTGGGTGATGATTTTGCATGGTTTTTGATGTCAGGGCTACACTTGGGTTGTACATGGATGGGTTGTAGATGCATGCAGGGTTGGGTTGGTTTGTGGAGAGGCAGGCCTGGTGAGGGTTGTGCATGGATGGTTTGTACCGTTAAAATCCTATTATAAACCGCATACCTAATAGTAACCGCACCCCCGATTTCGGCTTCAGTGTTACACTGTAAAGAGTTCTCAACAAAAATTGAAAACATGAAAAGTACCCATTACTAACCGCACCCCCAATTCAACAAGACCGTGACCGACTTTGTTTCAACAAGCTGGTACATTGTTCCTAATCCTATTCATTTGTTTCGACAACGTGCCTAAAAATATTCACACCTCTTTATTGATCAGTAGTGTTAGAATGTCAAACACGCAGTGAAACTGCTTTTGTCTTGTGACAACTTTTCTCAATACTCCTTATGAATACGTCTGTGTGTCGCAAGTTTTCGACAATGAGCTGTTCTCACCGAAAAACTGTTAAATTCTTTTTCAATGCTCAGTTTATCTTTCGAAAACAACTAATTTCTTGATTAAAAAAAAAAGTCGTGTCGTTTTCCCATGGAAATCAAAGCCAAAAGATCGCACTACATTATCGGTAAATCACTTCCGGGTTTTGTTCACCATAAAGTCGGTGACCTGTCATTAACATATTTAAATGAACTAAGGTAATTTGAACACGTGGGCACCATCCAGGATTTTGATTGGTTAATTAGCGACTTGACCTACCCGGTCAAGTAATGTCTCGAGTGCATTCAAACTATGGCGGATGTCACATCGATCGTTTACATGTGACCGAAATAATTCGTTTACGGTGAAACTAAGTTGAATTTTACTTGCATTTGATAACAATTCAACGAATTTAATTTTCATGTGTTGTTATAATCACTACTGAGTAATAATCAACAATTTCAACAGTTCGAAAACAAGCAAGTTATTCACTCGTGAGCCGAAGCATGGCCAGATTGCATTACCGTACCCACGGTGCCATACTTTTTTAGTGCCGTACCATG